ACTCTTTCCTTCCTTCGTTCCTTCTCTCTACTCTCTCTCTCTCTTTCCTTCCTTCGTTCCTTCTCTCTACTCTCTCTCTCTCTTTCCTTCCTTTTTTCCTCCTTCTGCAGCCCAACTCTTCGTTCCTTCTCTCTACTCTCTCTCTCTCTTTCCTTCCTTTTTTCCTCCTTCTGCAGCCCAACTCTAGGGGAAGGGAAGGGAATGCTTTTGAAGATGCTTTCCCCCCTTTTGCTTCCCCTTCTGACATCACTTCCAGTGATGTCAGGGGGTGTTGCATATGCTAATGACTATTATGCTAATAGCCTAGTAGCTCATTAGCATACTGTATGCTAATGAGCTTCTGCAGCTCTTTTTCTACGAAAAAACCCTTAGGGAATGGTGTTTGTAAACTGTTCTGAGACTCTGAGTGAAGGGCGGGGTATAAATCCAATCTCTTCTTCTTTAACTAAAGGGGTTAATTTCCTTTTAAAATTTCCTTTTAAAAGATAAGAATTTCACTTTATCATACTTCCTGTAGTAGCACTAACTAGTATACCATCCGTGGTTGTTAAATACATTCACACAGCCTGGGATTAGGGAACTGAACACCAGATGGCAGTACTGAGTTTCAGCTTGGCTATTTAATGCACTTGTTGCTGCCCTGAATTTTTGCCCAAAGATTTATTATAACATGTATATTGCTGACATAGTCAATGTGCTTTATATTTGATCAGTGATTTTGGAAGCATTTCCAACTGCAGAGAAATCACATGAAAAAGGTGTAATGACAGAGTTTTTGTTTTAAAAAAGTGTTCTTTACATCCCATTAGAGATAGAAAAATAGAATTGTGTACTCCTTGTTCTGGCTTTTATTTGATACAGAGGTACCATTCTCCTACTCTCATCTGATAATATTGAAATGGGCAGAAGTAAGGTTTGTAATTTTTGTAATTCTTAATTCTGGAGGGGGGGGGGAATTCCCAGACCAGTCGACTCCCAAGCAAGTGCACCTCCAGTTTTGCAGCATTGTGAGTTAACAAGAGACAGCTTGCTTTCAGCTGTAGGTGGGTTTGTGGGCTTTATATTTATTTATTTATTTATACTTATATTTATAACCCGCCCACCCTGTAAACAGGCTCTGGGCAGCTTACAGAAGATGGCAAAGTAGGCCGAATTAGCATAAAACCATAAAACATTAAAGTAATATAAAATATTCTTAGCATTACAAGAATAACATTTAAAGCGCTTGCAGTATTAACATAGATGGCGTGGCTTTCCATTCCGGCAATCTCCTGATCTTATGGCCAGTCCCATTATGCCCCTTGTGAGCCGCCCTGAGCCTTCGGGGAGGGCGGGATATAAATTTAAAAATAATTTTTTAAAAATGGTCCAGATATTAAATGGCATAATCCATAGTCCATAGTGGGCCAGTCGCATTTCCCAGAAGATACACACCTGAACAGCATACTCAAGATTGCAACAACACAGACATTTTGATGCAATAATACAGAGCAAGAGGTGTCAGTTATCAGACACTGTTAAATAAAGAAAATATTGCAAGAGTGCTAATGTTTTAAGCATGTCTTTATTTTAAATAAAAAACCCTTTGTGTTAGTGTCCTTTATAAAGCTTATATCTCCGCTACCTGGCATTACATTTTATGACACACATGGCCCAGCCCAACAAGGTCTCATTTATGTCAGATGCAGCCCTCAGAACAAATGAGTTTGACATCCCTGCTTGAGAGAGTGCCTATCAGCTTATATGGAACTCACAGCGGACTCTGACTTAAGCATGGAGCCCATTTTGCTTCAGTTGACACAGCATGGTGGAGGCAGCATGGTGTAGTAGCTAAGAGTGGCGGACTCTAATCTAAAGATACAGAGTTTGCTTCTTCACTCCTCTACATACAGCCAGCTGGGTGACTTTGGACCCGTCACAATTCTCTGAGAACTCTCTCAGCCCCACCTACCTCACAAGGTGCCTGTTGTGGGGAGAGGAAGGGAATGTGATTGTAAACCGCTTTGAGGCTCCTTACAGAGTGCGTTCAGATGGGCTGTTTAGTCCGCTTTTGGTACGCTTCAGTAACGGATTTTATATCCACGTTCACACACCCAGCATCTGTGCACCTCCCCAGCCGTCGCTTTCCGGATCAAACCCCCTTTAAAACTGAGTCTTTTGTTACCAGGTCCCCAAGTGCTGTTTTATTTATTTATACTTATATTTATACCCCGTCCACCCTGTAAACAGGCTCTGGGCGGCTTACAGAAGACTGTGCCGAATTAGCATAAAGCCATAAAATTAAAATAGCATAAAATATTCTCAACATTACAATAATAGTATTTAAGGTGCTCACAGTATTAACATAGATGGCGTGAATTTCCATTCCAGCAGTATTCTGATCTTACGGCCAGTCCTATGATCCAGATATTAAATGGCATAGTCCATAGTGGGTCAGTCCCATAGTGGGCCAGTCCCATATTCCAGATGTTCAATGGAATAGTTGGTGGTAACGGTGGCGGCGGCGGCTCCTATTTGAAAGTCTGGCGGAAGAGCTCCATCTTGCAGGCCCTGTGGAACTGTACAAGGTCCCGCAGGGCCCTGATCTCCTTTGGGATCTCGTTCCACCAGTAAGGAACCGCCTCCGAAAACGCCCTGGCCCTGGTGACGGTGAGCTTCGCATCCTTGGGGCCTGGAATAGTTAAACGCTGTTGTGCCCCGGACCGTAGTGCTCTCTGGGGTATAAGGGTCAAAGGAGGGGCTAGGCTAACAAAAGATAACAGGAAACAGATAGATGTTTTGATAATTTCTATGTTTCCCTCAGCTTTTCCAGATGGTTTTGTAAATAATAGTTCCCTGATAAGCACAGAAATGTCTCATTGTTGTTGCTCTGCTCTCATGGCTTGTATGTGCATGGCAGGAAGAGATCAAATTGCATTATTTCAGTAGCATACTTGCAAATGGTTGATGTATTTAAATTGCATGTGCTATGATGACACACACAAACAAACAAACAATAAAACCCTTGAGTTGTTTAGAAGATTAGCGATGCAATCCTAACAACACTTTTCTGTGAGTAATCCCCACTCAGTAGACCTCAGTTGGCTTCTCTGAGCAGACCTGCTTAGGATTGCTCTCTTAGCAGGCTTGCTTTGTGATTCTTTGCAGGACCAGGAATAGAAAAAGAAGGACATACCCGGAGAAGTTTTTCAGGAAGGCTCATCAGTTTTACTGCAGGGCTTCTGGCATACTTAATTCTAGTTACAGGAGCCAAGGCCAAAAACAGTTTGATCTTTTCAGCCAACTCTGGCATTGTTGAAAATGCTATAAACCCTGGGAAAATCAAAGAGACGAGTCACTGACAGTAAAAACAAATCACACAGTGAAAACAAACATACCAGAAACTTTGTCATTATCCACCCATCAACATGGAGGCAGTATTGCAAATATTAAATGCTGGCTCGTTGCACTACTGCTGTTGCAAGATATGGTTTATTAGAGAAGCCCATCTTGTACTTTGGACCAATGCCACCCTTTCCTTGTTGCTCAGAATCAGGTCTCTTTTCACATCCTACTTTCCCGCTAATTATCTGTAGTGTCTATATAATTTATGAAGGGGTACAACATTGCCTCACTTCTGCAACCATGTAACCTTTAGATTCCTTTAAAATATCTCTTGGCAAAGTCCTCTTTCTATTGTGTAATGTTTCCAAACAAGTTGAGGAAAGGCAAAGAGGCTGCCCTATGAATCAGAAGGTCTTCAGTTAAAATCTATCCTCTGCCATGAACTGACTGAATCATGTGGAACCCTGCAGCAGGGCAAACAGAACCCAGCCCCCTGAAAAATGGTTTGGGGTGAGTCTGAAACTCCTTCTCTCTCCCACACCATGCTCCTGAGTGGAACTAGGCTCAGTAGCACTTGGGAACATTAATTTCCTGATGTATCACCTGTCTATGTTGGTTCATGTGGCAGATGTCATGTGTAGTTTGGCCTTCAATCTCCAATATGGAGATACTAATGTGGAATATAAAGTCACTCGAAAACTTGAAAAGGTTTTCAATATTACTATGGATTCAGTCACCTTTTTTATACATGTTCTGCATTTGTTGGCACAGTGGCTTGGATTCAACTGAGGATAGAAGGATTTTCAGCTTCTGTGAATAGAAGGATTTTCATCTATGGATGGAACAGCAACCCATGAAGCAGCCTTATACTGAGTCAGACCATTAGTCTATGAAGCTCAGTACTCTGACTGGGTTCTCCAGAATCTCAGACAGAGATCTCCAGGTTTGTCAGGTCTTTCACGTCACCTACAGTTTGGTGTAGTGGTTAAGTGCGCTGACTCTAATCTGGGAGAACTGGGTTTGATTCCCCACTCCTCCACCTGCACCTGCTGGATGACCTTGGGCAAGCAATAGTTCTGGCACAGTTGTTATTGAAAAAGAACAGCTTCTGTCAGAGCTCTCTCAGCCCCACCTACCTCACAGGGTGTCTGTTGTGGGGAGGGGAAAGGAAAGGAGTTTGTAAGCCACTCTGAGACTCCCTTGGGTAAGGGCGGGGTATAAATCCAATCTCTTCTTCTTCTTCTACTACTACTACTGGATCCTTTTAAATGGAGATGCTAAGGATTGAACCTGAGACCTGCTCCATGCAAATCAGATCCTCTGTCATTGAGCCACAGCCCCTCACAAATATAGAATGGTGATATGTGCAGCTTACTATGCTACTACCCATGCTGTTTATATATAAAGGCCAAACACTGGCCAGGTAAGGGATGCTCTTAATGTGTGTACTTGAAGAAAGGTTTTGTTTTGTTATAGTTTTATTGCTCTATTTCTTTGGTGATTTCCAAGAAAAATCAAATTCTAAAGGCAATATTCAACCTAATATAGGTGTGGTATGCAGCCGTGCTCTGTGTTCCATTATCTAAGCTTCCAGATGCACCCATCCTACCTCTGAGCCAGGGCTTTGAGACCTTGGTTGGATAGATAAGGCAGAACAAAGTGAAGGATTCCAGACAAGAAAGAGGTGATGCTGGCTGGTAAGGCTGTTTGAGAGGGAATGGAACTGGCATTTGTAGAACAGGTTAAGAGTTTGAGGGTGCTGTTTGAAAAGCAGGTAGGTGGGATGGCCAAGACTGCCTTCCATCAACTGCATTTGGTTCTCCAGATCCTTTCTTAGAGCCAAACAATCTGACCATGCTGATACATGCTTTTGTAACCTGGGCTACTGTAATGTTCTTGAAGACAACCCAGATAATGCACGTGGTTCAGAATTCAGCAGCCCATTTATATCAGGAGGTAGATGATTGGAACTTATTTTGTCCACATAGATTCCATTTGAGACATGAGCTGTGCCTAGATTATTGTGGAGACCAGGTTCCATTTTTCAGCCATATAACTGAGGTAGAATGCTTTGAAATGACTGGCATACCTAGGAAGGACGTTTTTCGGCTGCAGACGTTTCTTTGTGCTATGGGGCATCTTCTGCCTTATATTGCAATAGACTGATGTCTATTGCAATAGACTGCCTTATATTGCAATAGACTGATGTCTGTTGGTAATTTGTGAACTTTGTGAATTTTTTATGGTCTACCCTTGCATTTTGTATTTCTGTATAGCGTATTCGCTTGGGGCCCTTATTGTTTGGCTTAACTATGCCGCCACCTAGTAGCTGTTCCTCCACTTAACATAACCCGCACCTTCTCCATTGTTGCTCCCACTTTGTGGGCCTGGCTGCCTGAAGAGGTGAGGGGAAAACATCTTTCAAAATCTTCTGGTGGTGCTTCAAGGTCATTTTATTTGCCAGAACTTTTAAAGGGGTATAAATGGCAGCTTTTTAGTGGGAAGAGGTCATTTGGGGTTTTATATCTTTGGTTTTAAACTATGGTATTTTGGATTTTGATTTGTAAGTTGCCTTGAGCCACAAGGAAAGATGAGGTACAAATATTTAAACAGATAAATAACAATTTGACATTTTTCTTAAGATAATAAAATGTCTACTCTTAGATCTGTATGTTGCATGATATCTTTAGATATATATCTTCTCATCTCATACTGTACCTATTGCAGCACCCTGTGAATAGCCAATGTAGAATAACTGTTGCTGTCCAGTGGTTTGCAGAATAAAATTCAGAACAGCTGGAAGATCATATTTAGCCATCTCATCAAAACTGCATGGGAAATAAATCAAGACATTGAATAGTTCACATACAAAACTTGTTTTGTAGCACATCATACAAACATGTGTCAGCTATCATTAATCTGGTACCGGATAATGGTTTGGACCCAGTTTAAGATTTCCAGTGGTAGAATGGAAGTTCCCTGTCTTTCCTGTCCCACTGGAGCTGATTGATCTCTATGAGACACTGTTTTGAAGGGACCAGGGATGCTGAGGAATGGCATGAGAAGGGTGTGCAGGGGGGAAGGGGAAATTGGTGGAAAGTGGCAGTTAAGTCTGGGTCCTACTCAATATTTATTCATTCCAACAGTATGAAAAGTAGAAAAGTCAAAAGATTTTCAATTTTGTACCTGTCATAAGGTGAGTTACCTATAGTGTAATCCTAAGTAGAGTTACACCCTTCTAAAGCCCAATGATTCCAACTGATTTAGATGAGTGTAGCTCTGTTTGCCTTGACTTGGATAGCCAAGGCCAGTCCAATTTTGTCAGATCTCAGAAGATAAGTGGGTTCAGTCCTGGTTTGTTCTTAGACCTGGTTTGTACAAGGAAGTCAAAGATTGCTATGCAGAGACAGAAAATGGCAAACACCTCTGTTCATCTCTTGACTTGAAAACCTTATGGCGTCACCATAAATCAGCTGCAATGTAATAGGACTTTCTACCAACAAAAACTCTGTTTAGGATTGCGCTGCTTTTCTCTGTTGTAATCTACAAAGATTGTAATACTTCAGTATACCTGAAAGCCCAAAACTCTTCTTGATGTATGGACAAATTTTGGTGTCTTCTGGACCAGATGTTTCCTCTGCTGTTTCCAATCCAAACATCATAGCCAGCATCCGCAAGGACAAAGCCCAAACTGTTCTTGTCCAGGTTGGTGACCCAGTTGCTTCCATCTCCTAACAAGCCATGCTGGAGAAACACTACGGGTTTCACAACTGAAACAGGAACATAATATTTTCTTTCATTTTTATGCTCAAATCATACTATTAAGACATAGCAAGGGCTGTGTGAATTCAACACTAAGCTTTAAGAAGTTTAACTTAAGTACCATAGTAGTTCAAATTCTAACATTTGGATTTCAAATCATAAGAATTTTTAAAGTAAGTTAATTTTTTTGAAAGTGCATATGTGGTAATGTTCAAATTGTGCTGAAAGAAAGCAAATATCAGATGGAAAGGATAATATTTTATTTTTATTTATAAGAGTAGATATATACAAAATACAGATCTCTGATTCATACATAACACATATCTAAACATTGATTCAATAAGACACATGGGCTATAAATAAAGAATGCTTGCTTCATAATTCAGTGAGACAAGGGGCGATTTCTCACTTGGCACTTACCCCTGGTTTTCATCAGAGTTTTCT